TTTTTTTTTTTTTTTTTTTTTTTTTTTTTTTTTTTTTTTTTTTTTTTTTTTTTTACGATCAAAGTACTGTTCGCGACGGACAAGAGGTAAATAAAAGTGTTTGCGTTATTGAGCTCGTGTATAATTGGAAACGCGTGTTTACTGAAAACAAATTTAATCACTGCTATAAACAAAACCAACAAGACAGAAGCTTTTGAATTTATCTGATGAATAGCAAAGTAGGCGGACAATTAAATCAACTCGATCATCGAGCGGAATTGGAAAATACTGTATGTAGATTTTTATTCGAGTGTAATTCGGGATGAATGTGACTCAAGGTGGACACAAATTTATTATCATTCAAAGGTGCCAAATCAAGATCGTGTTGTCGCTTTTTGGAGGATCGGTATGTATTATGTGCATTTTAATTGTACGCGTGTAAAAAGGACTTGAAGATAATTTACGAGCGCGTGTGAATTTTTTTCTGATTTGCCAAAAGAACTTGTTCTTCCAGGAATATTCTGTTGACGTCTTTTTTTTTTTTTAAACTGAGCTTTGCAACGTTGACACGAAAAATACCGTGCTTTTGATTTACGGTAATTTTAAACACTGAGGGAGCCAACTGCAACAGTACAAATTGTATATGATCTCCATCACAAGAAGACGAATGGAAATATACTAGATTTGAAAAAAAGTTGAATGGAAAAAAAAAATTGCTTTGTAATTGATTATAAGTAAATGAGAAGCCTCGTAAATTCTGGGGGGGTGAAATTTTCCTTCATTCGTTCTTCCGCCAAAGCACCACCTGCCAATAACCCGATGACCCGAATTAAGGATGTGACCCTCGTTTTGGTTGCACAACTGCACAGACGCGCTGGAAAAAATAAGATTCAGAAGCTTCGCGTATGCGCGTCGGGAGATAAGAAGTCTCGAGCCGGTGCGATAAGGCGAGCGAGAAAAACAAATGGCTAACTTTTTTTTTTTTTTTTTTTTCCCAGTGCTGACTTGTCGAACAAGCTGTAACACAGTCTTTCCAGGTCGAGGAAGTAAATCTGGTTTTCAAGCCGAATGAATCTTACGGACGAAAACATCCGATGTCGTATCGGTGGGGAAAGCAGTTTTGGCAAACATCATCGGCAAGACTCGGTACATGCACGCGCGTAACACGAGTGGGCGCCCACGCGATGAATATTAATAGTTTGGGCGTGTTTGCCTTTTTTTTTTTTTTTTTTTTTAGTGGGTTACAGTTGTTCCCGAGCAAAGTTACTTGTGCAATACAACTGCGGGAGCTGCACATGGTAGACTTTACCGATAAAACTTTGGAAAACCACGGGGCCTACATGCTCCAGTTAACGAAATGACGAACTCGAAACCTCTTTTTTTACAGCTTTTAATTTTCCTGAGTATCTACACCGAAGTAACGATTGCAACAAAGTTTGGGCACTTGTACTCTTTCAAATATTTTGTATGAAATTTTTTACTAAAAAATACCATGCAGAGAACACAGTTTCTTTTTTTTTCCCCAAAAAAAACCATTAGGTCGCGACTATGTTGAGAGGGAAAAAAATGTACGAAAAATCTATTTAAAAAAGCACGTAACGTATTGTATCCAGGAGCAGAAAAAAAAATTTCCAGACACACCGGGGTATTACATTTTTAGAAAAAAAAATTTGTCAGAGCGTTTAGACACAAAATACCCAAATCTAACGATTACCGATCACTCGGATTTCGTTTGACACTCGAAAAAACCTGGCACCGTGATACCGATTTTTTCCGGCATTTCTCAAGAATAACCGATCGCTACCACTGCAACTTGTTACAATTTTCCTGGCTAACGTTCATGCAAACGCGCACTCGGAGGTTCCCAGAGCCGAAGGTCTCGCGTCTATCCAAGGCACCAATTGCGTCATCGTTCACCTTCATCTTCTCTCTCTCCCTCTCTCTTTCTGTAAAACCAATTAAAACTCGGTTGTGCCTTAAAACCGGTAATTTCGACACGCTTCCTCTCCGTACTCGGCCCGGACGTAACTATTTATTTTTACACAAAGTGCCACACTTACGGGAAAAAGGGGACAGTCGGAATAATTCAACTATTGATACATGGCGTTAAATCGTGACACGAAGACGCCATCGGGTTTGTTCAGCTGCAACGACGTTTGGTCGAGAAGGCACTCGCACGCACGAGTGTATACCGAAGGTCGCTGCTTGTAGTCTTGATCGACGTGCGTATAGGAACAAAATTTCTAGCTAACGCGTAACAATGTAACTTTGATCTCAATATTTCGTTGGCACACCGTTCGAAATCTGTTTACAATGAAACAGGTGTACCTATTTTATCCCTATGCCAACTATTATCATACATACTAAATTTGGGTATTTATCAATAATATTTTATGTAAATAGACCCACAAAATTTATGTTACTTTGACGTTTAATTTTTGTGATTCAGTGAATTACAAAAGCAATGTCGTGGGTTTAACAGCCAAATAGAGTAAAAGTAGGGTAAATGTGACATTCGCAGTGCTGAGCGAGGGCGAGTTTGGAAAGAGCACGAGCTCGAACAGCAGCGTCGTCTCGAGGAAGGTCAGCAAGTGCGGGGCCAATTTTTGCATCATCGGGAACGGCGGCTACGACAGCCTGTACAGGCCACCCGAGTCGGAGATCTACGAGATATCGGCCATCTACCTCACCTGTGTCATCGTTGCCGTCCTCATCGTCGCCCTCTTCGTCGACCCACTCTCCAGGTAAGAGCTACTTTGTTTCATTTTTTTCTTTCTTCGATACCACGTACCTAATAACAGAGACATGGGAGTGCTGTTTTTTTTTTTTTTTTTTTTTTTTTTTTTTTTTTTTTTTTTTTTTTTTTTTTTTTTT